GGAGCCCCCGAATATGGATGCTGCTAGGTTCTATGATATGTTGAAGTTATCTCAAGAACCATTATGGCCTGGATGTGAGACACATTCAGTGTTATCTGCTGCTATTAGGATGATGAGCTTGAAGTCGGAATACAATATGAGCAATGGATGTTTTGATGCCATGGCACAACTTATGAAGGAAACATGTCCTTCTTCAAACAAGATTCCTGATGATTTTTATAGGGCCAAGAAATTAGTGGCAGGCTTAGGCCTTACAAGTCAAAAAATTGATTGTTGCATTAATGGATGTATGTTGTACTATAAGTTTGATAGTGATTTAAAAGAGTGCAAGTTTTGTCATGAACCACGTTACAAACAACCTACTGGGCGTAAGAAAAATAGCAAGGAGGTTGCACGAAAAAGGATGCATTATTTGCCTCTGATTCCACGACTCCAACGCTTGTATGCTTCAGATACCATTGCAATGAAAATGAGGTGGCACCACGAACACCGTAGGGAAGAGGGTGTGCTAAGTCACCCTTCAGATGGAGCAGCATGGAAACATTTTGACAGATCTTATCCTGACTTTGCTGCCGAACCTCGAAATATCCGACTTGGTCTTTCAGCAGATGGATTTACTCCATTTGGTCAATCTGCACGGTCTTACTCCTGTTGGCCTATATTAGTCACACCATATAATCTTCCTCCAAACATGTGTTTGACCAGCCCTTTTATGTTTTTGACTATGATCATCCCTGGGCCACATAATCCAAAAAGTAAGATTGATGTGTATTTGCAGCCACTCATAGACGAGCTACAACAGTTATGGAGTGATGGTATATGGACTTATGATGCTTACAAGAAGCAAAATTTTTTAATGAGAGCATCATTAATGTGGACAATAAGTGATTTCCCCGCTTATGGGATGTTATCAGGATGGAGTACGGCTGGAAAGCTAGCATGTCCAGTTTGCATGGATAAATCAAAGGCGTTTACATTAAGAAAGGGAAAGAAATGTTCTTGGTTTGATTGTCATCGTCAGTTTTTAGAACCTAGTCATATGTTTAGAAAGAACTCAAATGCTTTTAGAAAAGGGAAACAAGATCACTCAATCCATCCTCCTAGATTATCTGGGGATGAGATTTTGAGAAGAGTTAATAGATACCCTAGGATAATTGATACTGGCCAACAAGTCCGCTTTGAAGGATATGGGAAAACTCACAATTGGACAAAAAGAAGCATATTTTGGGATTTACCTTATTGGAAATCACATTTAGTTCGACACAATTTAGATGCCATGCATATAGAAAAGAACGTCTTTGACAATGTATTCCATACTGTTATGGACAACAAAGACAAAACGAAAGATAATACAAAATCAAGATTGGACTTGGTACAACACTGCCGACGGCCAGAATTGCATTTGCAACTGGTTGATGAAAACTGGAAAAAGCCAAAAGCCAAATTTTGTTTCAGTCGAAAAGAAAAGGAAGACATATGTGAGTGGGTAAAGAATTTAAAAATGCCTGACAACTATGCTTCCAATCTAAGCAGATGTGTGGATGAAAAGGAAGCAAACTTATCTGGAATGAAAAGTCATGATTGCCATATTTTCATGGAACGTCTTCTTCCAGTGGCATTTTCTGCTCTTCCTGATGGGGTTTTGAATCCTATTATTGAACTGAGCCAATATTTTAGAGATTTGTGCTCCAAACAATTACGCGAGGACAAATTGAGGGTTATGGAATCTAACATCCCAGTCATATTATGTAAACTTGAGCGAATATTTCCACCATCATTATTTGATTGTATGGAGCACTTGGTAATTCATTTGGCCTATGAAGCAAGGATAGGTGGTCCTGTACAATACAGATGGATGTATCCATTTGAAAGGTAACAATTAATTTATATAATATACATTATCTTACCATTCATATTACATTTTAGATTTTAATTATTTAAAAAATTGTATTATTCTAGGTTCCTTGGGAAGTTAAAAAAAATGGTGAAAAACAAAGCTTATGTTGAGGGGTCTATATGCCAAGCATATTTAGCACAAGAGATAACATACTTTAGTTCCCATTACTTTGATTCTCATGTCCAGTGTAAGCACAATAGACCCCAACGAAATGATGATGGTGTTGACACTCACAATAGGGAATCAACTATGTCAATCTTTGATTATCCTGGGCGTACTACTGGCAAGTCTACAACTCGATGGCTGAGTGATAAAGAAATAAACGCTGTCCAACTACATGTACTCCTGAACTGTGAGGAGGTCAAAGAACATTTAAGGTAAATAATACTACTATTTAAATTTGTGACTAAAATATTTTAGTGAATGACAACCACCTATTATTAATCACTCCCTTGCAGCGTTTATGAGGATCACTTAAGAAGACTATATAGTAATATTAGTGATGCTATGATTGATAAGCAAATTGAAGATGATTTTCCACGGTGGTTTAGAGAGTATGTAAGTATCATATGTAGTTTTTAGACATACAAAATAAATTATTATACGTTTTTATTGCTAACGAGATGGACATAATGCTATATAGGTGAACTGTAACCCACAACTCATGGCACGCAATCCCCATATGCATTGCTTGGCTCTAGGACCATTGAGAATTGCTAAGTGTTGGCCCATAATGCTCATCAATGGCTTTAAGTTTCACACTAAGACATGGGGTGAAGGTAGAAAAACATACAACAGCGGTGTTTGTGTTAGTGGTATAGGTGGTGATGACTCAATGCGAAATGATTATTATGGTGTTTTGAAAGAGATTCTTGAGTTGGAATGGCCAGGACAACCACTCAAAAATCTAATTTTGTTCAACTGTGAGTGGTTTGACACCTCTCACAATGGTACGAGAGCACATAAAAAGTATGGGATTATTGAGATACACAAAAATAGAAGGTATAAGAAATATGATCCTTTTGTATTCCCTGAAATGGCAACACAAGTATATTACTGCCCTTATCCTGGAAAGAGTACTGGGAAAAGGGATTGGTGGGTGGCAATAAAAACTCGACCAAGGGAAACTCTTGAAAATAGACAAGCACTGGAAGTGGCCTATCAAGAGGAGCAATCCACTTCAAATGTTGAAATGATGTAATCATCTGATATGATATGGCTAAATGAGCTTAAATGATTGAACAAAATGTGTTTGATTGTTTATTTGAGTGAAATGGATAATTGGATATGCAATGATCGTATGGTGTATATTGTTTTGATAGGGGAATACAAAAATATAGGACAAAAATACATGTTTCATAGTGGCATACTCCTAGAGCTTTAAAGTTTTTTCTAAACTTTATTCATTCTGTTTTGTTGAAGAGGATAATTTGTGCATTTTAAACTTTATGTCGATAGCAAGGATCAGTACTCTGTAGTCCGTACTTTATAGGCTTTTAGCTGCTGTGATGGACCATTAGTGTCCATTTAAAGGTCATTATGGATTGTAACTTAAGCAAATCTTCTGGCCAATGTTCCACTATAATCCTGTTAACATGGATTTCAGTAAAAATTCAATAATGATGAAACGAAGATAGATCTTTATTATGGATTTATGGTATGCTCTTTTGTATAGTATACATATAATTTTAGCTGATTTGTAGAACCAATTCAATTTGCAGAAGCTGAATAAAATAAATTAAAATGTAAAAGAGCATGAGATTTGCAGTCTTATGGTAGCGTCTTAGATAGTTAAATAGCTAAATAATATGGACTGTCTGATACTCATGTACATGTTGTATAACTTTTTGGTGTAAATAGGAACTGTTAATTGACTCTTCTGAAATCTGATGGCATATTTATGTTTATTACTTGCAGGAGAACTTTGAAAAGAAAAAAGTTGAAATGTCTTCACAAAGAACCATTGATAGTGAAAGTGTTTATGGAGATGATGCTTCACAACTACACCACACGCCGTCAGATTTCAATATTTGGATAGATACGGTGGGAGGACAGAATAATAGTGGCATTCGAGGTCTTGGTTCGTTGGGCAGGTCAATCAAGCGTTTGTCTCATGGAGCACCACAGGAGCCCATATCCGAAGAGGTCGAGGAAAGGATAAGAACTGAAGTCCATTTACTTAATACATCTTTGCAAGCACAACTTGAAAAAGAGAAGCAAGAGAAAGAACAAATGAAGAAGGAATTGGCTGACACAAAGAATACATTGAATCTTTTAATGGAGAAGTTAGGATTTAATGCAAGTTCTTCTCGCTCACAGCCTACACATGCAAATGATGACTCAAGTGATGAAGAAGAGGATGAGGAAGAGGATGAAGAAGAAGATGAAGATAGTGTATCTGAAGACTTTTGAGGGATAATTAGTAGTTTTTTAGTTTCACATGACTCCAATTGAATTTTAATCTTAGAACTTCAGTGAGCATTCGAGATCTTGGTTTGTTGGAAATGTTTAATATTAGGAGCTGCCGAGCTGGATATGAGTAATATTATGAACTCCAAGGCTTCTAAAACATCTATTAAATTGTGATAATTCCTGGAGTAGGTTTTGTTATGGGTGTGTGTATTTCTGGAACAGATTTTGATGAGATTTTTGTAATTGAAAGTTTCAGTTATGTACTCTGCTACTATTTTTCTACATATTTAGCTATGAAATCAATATGTTCAAGGATTTACATGAAAAAGTAGCTGCAGATCCAACTACAAAAAATCACCTGCAATTTTAGTTGCAAATGATACATACACAATTTCTTGCGAATAATTTCCACGACAACTATCGTATAAAAAATCACAGGAAAATTCCTCCCAATTTACTCACTTCAGCTATCAAACTACACAAATTACTTGCATATTTTTATCATTTTCCATGAAAATATTTGCAACAAACTAGTTGCGGATTAAAATCTGCAGCAATGTATTATCCACGAGCATATTACCTATGAAACATAATTTGTAGTGAAATTCGCAACAAACGTATTTACTTGCGAATTTTGAAGTAAAATTCGTAGCAAAGGATATAGGTAAATAACATCTTTTTAGTAGTGCTGGGAATATCTTACCAATTTATTAATTAACAGTACATAAATATGGCAAGGGAACAAGAACCAAAACCTACCGGATTAAATGACGGGTAACTAACCGCGTTAAATTTAACAATTCCCACGAATTCGTGGTAAATGTTTTCAAAGAAGTTAGTATTAATAGCAACAAATCTTGGATTACAAATTTTATTTGTGTGGACAAGGCGAAGATTATCAGTCTGGAACTTGTGTTCAAAACCTTCTAAATTGGCAAAAGCTTTCCATCTAGGTCAATCAATTCCTTTCAGAGTCCGGATAACCTGTGATTATCACATTCGGTAATAACGTGTTAGTGTGTTCTTCTCGTTTTAAGTACAAATTGGTAAAGTTTTTCATAAGTTAAACAAAAAAAATTTATAAATGGAATGGAATTGGAGCATGTGACTGACCTACACGTGAACACTTGCGTAAAATTGGGCACGAGAGACATAGAATCGCACTTGATCTCAAGCCAGCGAGAACGGGCGTCGGAGATGTCATTCTTAACCAGAGCTATCACAGTCAAGGACGCATTGAACCTATCCAAGTTCTGCTTATTTTCAATCAAAACCCGGGCTTCTTTGTCGGTCAGCGTCACATTCGTTGACCCGGCAGAGAAGGGGATGCCGATTGGGTCGTCGTTTCCCGGCGGCAGGTTGACCGGGGCGGCGGTCATGGTTGCGAACGCAAGGGTCCCACTGTCAGCATTGTGATAGAAAGAGAGTCTGGCCTCGGCGGCGGCGTAGCACATGCCGCGGCTTTCGTGGCGGTTTTTGGCGTGGAGGGTGAAGGTGAAGGTGGGGGAGAGGGTGTTGCCGGCGGTGGCGTCAATGTTTCCGATGACCACATTGTCCACCGAGAATTCCGGGCTTTGTCGATTCCTGTCCAGGATTCGGTTCTGCCTCGTGTTTTTGAAGCCGGGGGCAATAAGAAGGGAACAGAATATGGGCACCAATATTAATGCTACCCATAAACAACAGACTCCATCCGTATGATCCTGTTTTATGCGAAAAATGCTGACACCAAATACTATCACTATAATACAGATGTAAACGATTAGTAATGCCACAAATGCGTTCACCATTATGGCAGCTAATTCTATTAAGCCGATTGTAAAGCAAAGGGCCGGCCGGATTTTTATTTTATAATTTAACTAGGAGTAAAATACGAAGGAAGTGCAAAAAAACAAAGTAAGTTTTTAAAAATTGATTGTAAAAGTTTATCTTAAAATATTCTTTTTACCGGTCCAGATCCATCAATTTTTATCCCTAACTACACATGGATAAAGTATATATATAGGATTATTATTACCTAGTATTTTATTTCTGAAATAGGACTCATTTACTTTTGTGCGAGGAGGTATCGATCATACTTTAATAGGATTAAATAAATCCAATTTTGAGAATAAAATATCATTATTCCTACTTTTGCACTTTAGTTATATTTTACTCCCTCCGTATCACATATATCTTTCCACTTCCAAAGTGAGTGAGATTAAAATAGTGAAAAGGGATATAAATTATTGAGGGTATGATGGGAAGATAGTGAAATAATGTGATGGAATGGAGGATAAATCCAAAAAAAGTAGGTGTGATAGTGTATTATTTTTTTAAATTATTGAGGGCATGATGGGAAGATATAAATGTTACGTCCAAAAAAGGAAAGTGGGAAGATATAAATGTTACGGAGGGAGTAATTCGTAGTATATTTGAAGCAATTCTTTATTTTCTTTTTGGAACATTTTTGCTTTTATATAGTCTGCTTTCCACCTGCTACCAAATCAACGAAGAACAAAAGCAAAAGGAAAAACGCGTACGTCTACAGACTACAGCCATCAATATATCATCATCACACAATCGAAAAGGTCAACAATATTGGACTCGTTTGGTTGCATGAAAATCGGCTGATTTGGGTCATTTGGCTAATCCTATTGAAATTTATAAAGTTCTGATTGAATTGGTTGCATTGGCTGATTCTACTGATTTAAGAAGAAAAAAAGTTAAAATACTACTTCCGTCCCGGTGGACTTTGCCAAGTGCAAAGCAGGTGGGAAATAAGAAAAGTAAAAACTGTGTGGTTGAAATTTGTGCAGAGGAGAGAGAAATGTGCAGAACCACAACCTGGTTACTTTATTAGGAAAGTGACAAAGTTTTTTGGGACAACTAATAAGGGAAAGTTGGCAAAGTCCAATAAGACGGAGGGAGTATATTTTATTAATAAAATAAAGAAAAAATTATATGTAAAAATAGCTAAAATAGTCATCTACAGTAACTTCAACCAATATAGTCAGAAAAGTAACTCCAACCTTACTTTTTCTGCTTATTACACAATTCAGCTGATAAGCCTGATAAGCCAAAAAATAGTACTCCCTCCGTAACATAAAAATCTTCTCACTTTTTTTTCGTCGTAACAAAAAAATCCTCTCATTTCTAAATCTTCCCATCATATATTCAATAATTCTGAAAATAATACACTATTACAACTACTTTTTTTGGATTTATCCTACATTCCACTACTTTTTTCATATTCTCTTTCACTATTCTTAATCTACCTACTTTTGAAATGGGAAGGTTTTTAAGTTAGTGAGGTAGTATTAACAAACGGCCTCATAACTACACGGAGTACGGAGTATAATTTTTCGTTAGCACCATTCCGGTTTTGCTGAGTTACTCTTGGATCGAGACATTATCTTTTGTACTTCGTCGAATGAAACAAAAGGAAGGTCAACTGCAAAAAGAAAGAAGAGTAAAAAGTTTGCGCCACTAGGGAAATTGGCTTTGAAAATTGAAATATAATAATATATCCCTCGAAAGGCCTCGATTATACTTTATTACTCGTAGAACAAATACACCTCTCAATTGTTTGAAATAACTAGCATAAAAAATTGAAAAGAATAACTCGGAATGAATATTGCCTTTGATACGAAAAGTAAAGAACAAATGTTATATAGAGTGATCATGCATGAAGTTTTATAGAGTCAAAGTTGAATCACATATTTTTCCGTATTTCCACTAGGCATAGTTATGTGTTGATTTCTACCTATTAGATGTCATATAATGTGCGCAGTATATTATACTCCCTCCGTCCCAATTTGTTTTGCAAAGTCAACATTTTTTGGTCAACCAATAATAAAAGTCAACCCTCCCTATGGATAGTTATATCAATTTTTAATAATTAAAATTTACATATTCAAAAACTACATTAAAATCTCTTCAAAGTTGTAAACTCCAAATTAGAAAATAATTAAAAATCGACATCCTAATTAAGTGAACAAAACGAGACTGTTTGACTAGGAAAAGTCAAATTTGCAACTCTTTTTGGGACGGAGGTAGTATTGATTAGTAGAGAGATAAAAAATGTAAATCATACATATAAATTAAAAATAGAAATAATTCCAAATAAAACACCATAAAAGAGTACTGTGTAATAGAAACAATGAGCTAAGAAGTAATTTTTTGGACAATTAAAACAATGAGCCGCGGCTCTTGTGTTGGTTTTGGGCGAGGAGGGTGAAGCTGAAGGTGGAGGAGACGGTGTTGCCGGCAGTACGCGGTGCGAAAATTTGTCGTTGCCTGTCTCGAGAATTCGGGCTTTGACGGTGACGTCAATGTTTCCGATTAGGGAAACTCTTCGGTGCATCCCTATTGTGGAATGTTTTGGTACATCACCCATGTGGCCGAATTTCATTGCAAATATATTCCACGTAAGCAGCCATCTCATTAAAACATTAAACAAATTGTATATTGAACCTTTCACAATTAAAAAATCCTTGTAGTCTGTTGTTCTGTCCGTTCATTTTATTCTCCCATATTTTCCAAAATAATTCGAGTGACAAAGGACCAAAACTTCAAATCAATTTCAATGGAACCAAGAATCAAATTATAGTGGCAGCTGCGGGAAGAATTAAAGACTGATTCCACGCGGTGAAGTTCGCGAGGAGATTTGGGAAGGGGGTGAAGTATGTTGTTATGCAGACAGTGGTGTCTGAGGACTCTATGATCGCGAAGAAGCATGGAGGACCGTTCCAGAATATTTCCAGAGAACTGAAATTGATGAATGACTATTAATCGGAAGATAGCGATCCAGATCATTCATGGAGTGTGATTTTCTTCGTTGCAATAATTGCTATTGCAGGTACTCCTATTGTTTTGATCGCTCTGAAATTTCAAGGCTACAGGAACAGTCCGACCACCCTTGTTATAGTTTCAGACGACCCACCTCCAACGCTAAAATTTTGCTAAAGATCTGATGCGGCTGTGATTCTGCAACTTGGGAACCTCAAGTTATGTCTTTAACTCCATTTCTTAAGCAATCTGTACTCTATTTCGTCGTCGAAAATCTTACGCTTCAACTATTTTTGTTCAAAGAAGATTGGTTCCATCCTCCTCTTCATTCTTCAACCTTCACACCATTTATAACTTCATAAGATATGTGGGAATTAAGACCAATTAAGTTGTTCAGTGTGACATGTTAATTTATTTGATTTAAAGTGGAAAAGATATTTCTTTCAATGCGTTCTATCAGCAGGTTTGGTTGTTACTGATTATATCTTTTAAATGTGTATATGTGGGTGGAAGCAAGCGGTTTTGAGAAGCAGTTGAAATAGTTGAGACCCACACTTTTAATCTTGAAATGGGATCAAGATTAGTTGTTTATGATAAGGACTCAATCTTTATGATAAAAAGAGTAGACTTGAGATGAGATCACAACCGGGTTTGATTGAGCAGACCTTTAATGTTAGATACTCAAGTTTGCAACGGGATATTCTGGCAAATAGGGTCCTGATGGCCTTCTTCGAGACTATTTAAGAACAAGAATCTAGTGAATATCACCTTCACAAAATTGCTATGGGTAAGCTCCAAGCTTCTTAAATAGATGAATATTACAGAGTGAAAAGTAACCACAGTTCTACATTTTAAAAAAGATCACAATTAAGCCAATAACTCCAAAATAAATGAATGAAATCAAAATCATTACATATTCAATGTCGGAAAAGTTATTTACATCGTATCTGAATATCTAAAGAGAGACTCAAGTAAAAGATACATCAAATTTGATCAAAGAAGCAAGGCACTAAGCTACTGCGATCTTTCAAGTCCAACTATGTCCTCGAGTATCAGTAGCTCTATAATCGGCACACTCTCATTTGTGCTAACCTTCAAAGATAACCATCCAAACGCAGCACATCCAATGAAAGAATAGGGGTTCCAGTCTTCCAGACATTAAAGGAAATAAACCAAGTGACAACTCAAGAATACTTGAAATGCTGCCATGCTCTCACCGAGAACCTGATCCCAACTTTGAAGACCTAAAGGTATAAAAACCTGCCAAAATTCCAACCTATAAACAACAAATAACACAGAAGAAAAAATTAGGACTAGAATTTTTATGTTTAAAAATTAAAATGCTATTAGTAGATATTTGTTGCCTTGTGGCTTAGAGCAGCAGCATAATCATTGAATATAAATAGGGAAGCTAATAACTTTATAGATATATAGGGAAGAGAGTGTAGAGAAATTTGCAAGTCCAAATATAATACTTCCTCCGTTTTTTTTTAATTGCAACAGTCAACATTTCACGTTTGCCAATGCACAAATTTGACCATTAATATCTTTTATTCCTTATAAGTAAAAAAATTAAAAAATTCATATTTTGAAAATTTAGAATGAGAAGAATTTTACAATATTTTTTGAAAATTTAATTTATTATACATTAATTAATAAAATGGAGTCAAAGTAGAACATGTGAATAGTGCAAAAAGTCCAATGTTGCAACTAAAAGAGAACGGAGGTAGTATATATTTATATCCAGATTGTTCCAGTGAAAAATAATACTCCCTCCGTCCCCTTTTAAATGTCACGTTTTACCATATTGGGATGTCCCTATTTAATTGTCACATAACTTATTTGGTAAAGTTTGTGTGGCTCAAAATCATTCTTACTTTATTCTTACTTTATCAATTAATATCAACCACAGAGACTCACTTTTCTTAAAACTCGTGTCACCCTCCTCCGGGACATTTAAAAGGGGACGGAGGGAGTATTCCTATAAAAATGATAATGAATCTTGTCCCATAAAAATTGATAATTAAGCTTATTCCTGATCCTCCTTATAAAAGAAACAATATCGAAAAGAAGATGGTTAAAAACAAAGGGAAGATAAAAACTATGTAGAAGTAAATGATATAATCATTATACGGACTAGTTAGTTATTTAAAATTTAAAACTAACTAATATGGAGTAGAATAGAGACTAATTTGTAAAGTAAAATCAAGTAATCAACCCCCTCCCCTGCTGCAAAATCTAACGCTCTTGAACTCAAGAAGTCATAACTCAACAACTCTTCTAGGCTTTATCTAGTTAAAGGTGCCTACAGGGAGGGAGAGATTTACTTATTCTCTTGGTTATGATAATCTAGCTAACATTTTTCAGGCCTAAATGAATTAGGGGCGAACCGGCCTTGACTTATGACTTATGTGATTAGAAATTTTTGGGGTTTTAGGCATCATGTTGAAGATGGAGTCTTGTTCTTAGGTTCAGAGCAGATACCCGACCGGGTATGGTCGGCCACCCGACCGGGTATGTTGAAGCAGAGACCGGGGGATCTCACTGGACGTGAGACCCGACCGGGTCAGGGAAGGGACCCGACCGGGTCAGCAAGGCAGAAGCCTTCTGTTTTGGAAACCCGACCTGGTTTCCACCGGGTTTGTGTTCTGTGAAGGAGACCCGACCGGGTCAAATAAGAGACCCGACCGGGTCAGGCGACGGGAATTTTAAAAACAGGCTTAATTTTGGGCCTGTGGCTCTAATCTCAGTTTAGGTTTTCCTAAACCTATTTAAACGACTCTTATGTACTTGTAAACCTCTTGGGACGCTGATAATAATACATACTCTCTCTCGTTCGCCGTGGACTAGCGTAATCACCCCGATTGCGTGAACCACGTTAATTCTTGTGTTCTTGCTCTTAATTTATCGTTTATCTTTGCCAAATCGTGACAATTGGTATCAGAGCCATGGCTGACGAAGGGAAGGTTAAGATCGATAAATTTGATGGTCAAGATTTCGCTTTCTGGAAGATGCAGATCGAGGATTATCTCTACCAGAAGAAGCTTCATCAACCGTTGTCTGAGAACAAACCAGAAACGATGACGGAGGCGGAATGGAATTTGTTGGATCGACAGGCTCTTGGTGTGGTGAGGTTGTCGTTGGCGAAGAACGTTGCCTACAACATCGTCAACGAGAAGACAACGTTCGGACTGCTCAAGGCGTTATCCAACATGTATGAGAAACCCTCAGCAGCAAACAAGGTTTTCTTGATTAGACAGTTGGTGAATACAAGAATGAAGGAAGGTGCATCCGTGACAGATCACATCAACGAGTTTAATTCAATCATATCCAGGTTAGGCTCGGTTGAGATTAAATTCGATGATGAAGTCCAAGCATTACTTTTGTTATCATCTTTGCCCGATAGTTGGTCCGGTACAGTCACAGCGGTTAGTAGTTCATCTGGAACCACTAAGCTTACCTTTGAAGGTATTCGTGACTTAATCCTTGGTGAGGATATCCGGAGGAGGAGTTCGGGGGATAGCTCCAATAGTTTATTGAGTACTGAAGATAGGGGCAGAAAATCCACTAGAGGAGGTAACAAGAAGGGAAGATCGAAATCGAGAAAGAGAGGGCAATCCAAGAACCGAAAGGACATCAATTGTTGGAATTGCAAAGAGAATGGACACTTCAGAAATCAGTGCCCAAAACCCCCTGCAGACAAAGGCAAGAAGGAGGTGAACGTGGCAGAGGATTATGAAGATGTTCTAATTTGCAGCGTTGAGAATTCAGTTGAGTCCTGGATCATGGATTCAGGTGCGTCATTTCATGCTTGTCATTGCAGGGATTTGATGAAAAATTTCAGGCCCTACAACGGAAGAGTTCGTTTGGCGGATGACAAATCCCTAGAGATCACGGGTATTGGGGATGTTGATCTCAGTACCACTTTGGGTACAACCTGGAAACTGAAAGATGTGAGGTATATTCCAGACCTGAAGAAGATGTTGATCTCAGTTGGACAGCTTGATGAGGAAGGCCATAACGTTAGTTTTGGCAACAAGCAATGGAAGGTGACAAAGGGAAAGCTGGTCATTGCTCGTGGGCAGAAGCATGGTACACTGTACATGGTTGAAGTGTCCACAGATGGGGCAAACGCAGCAGTTGAAGATACAGGGGTCTCTACTTTGTGGCACCAAAGACTTGGGCACATAAGTGAGAACGGAATGAAGATGCTGTCTTCAAAGGGCAAAATCCCAGATTTGAAGAATTCAAAGTTGAGCTTTTGTGAGCCATGTGTTCTAGGCAAACAAAAGAGGGTAACCTTTGTGAAGACAGGGCAGCAACCCAAGATTGAGCGGCTGGAGTTGATTCATTCAGATGTCTACGGACCGACAAAGGTCTCTTCGATTGGAGGTTCCCGGTACTATGTTACATTCATTGATGACTCTACACGGAAGGTATGGGTTTATTTTCTTAAGAATAAATCCGATGTCTTTAACACTTTTAAGAAGTTCAAAGCTGCTGTTGAGAATGAAACAAATCTTAAGATTAAGTGTTTAAAGAGTGATAACGGGGGTGAGTACAGTAGCACAGAGTTTGTAGAGTACTGTGCTGAACAGGGGATCAGAATGCTGAAGACGGTTCCAGAAACACCACAGCAAAATGGTGTTGCAGAGAGGATGAACAGAACACTGAATGAGAGGGCCAGGAGCATGAGATTGCATGCAGGACTTCCAAAGATGTTCTGGGCCGATGCGGTGAACACAGCAGCATACTTGATCAACAGAGGACCCTCATCTCCCATAGGTTTCAAAATTCCAGAAGAGGAATGGAAAGGTCGAGAGGTATCTCTTACTCACTTGAAAGTTTTTGGTTGTATTTCTTATGTCAAAGTTAGAGATGCAGATAGTGACAAGCTCGAGGCAAAGGCAAAGAAGTGTATCTCTATTGGGTACGGGATGGATGACATGGGCTACAGGTTCTGGGACAACCACAGCAAGAAGGTTATCAGAAGTAGAGATGTCACTTTCAACGAGAATGCCCTGTATAAAGATGGTCTTGCAGCAGAAACTAGCAAAGCCAAGCAACCAGAAAACAAGCAACAAGTGGTGTTTGACGAGATGACTGAAGATGACATAGCACAACCTGTTGGTTGTGATGAGACAACCGGAGGTTCAGGGAGCAGTGGGAGCTCAGGAGATACAGGAATGTCTGAAGATAGTGGGAGTGATGAAGATGGTGAAAATTCAGAGGCAGCTACTCCTCAAGTCAGACAGTCCACCAGAATCAGAAGACCTCCTAACAGATATTCTCCTTCAGCAAATTATTTGTTGCTGACCGAGAATGGAGAACCAGAATCTTACTCAGAGGCGCTGACCGTGAAGGATTCCATACAGTGGAAGAAGGCCATGGAGGATGAGTTAGATTCGCTTGAGAAGAACCAAACTTGGTCCTTAGTCAAGCTACCACCGGGAAAGAAAGCTTTGGAGAACAAGTGGGTGTTCAGAATCAAAGATGAAGCTGATGGGAGCAAAAGATACAAGGCGAGGCTAGTTGTCAAGGGGTTCCAACAGAAGAAGGGGGTTGATTACAATGAAATCTTCTCTCCGGTTGTGAAGATGACTACTATCAGGTTGATCCTTGGTATCGTTGCTGCTGAAAATTTGCATTTGGAGCAGCTGGATGTGAAGACTGCTTTTCTTCATGGTGACCTTGAAGAAGACATTTACATGGCCCAACCAGCAGGTTTCCCAGTGAGTGGTAAAGAGAAGATGGTGTGCAAACTCAAGAAGAGTCTATACGGGCTGAAGCAAGCTCCTAGACAGTGGTACTTGAAGTTTGACAGTTTTATGCAGCGGAATGGGTACACTAGATGCAAGATGGACCATTGCTGTTACTTGAAGAAATTCGAGTCTTCATACATTATTCTTCTTTTGTATGTTGATGACATGTTGGTGGCTGGAGCAAACATGCAGGAGATCAACAAGCTCAAGAAGAAGTTGTCTGAAGAATTTGAGATGAAGGATTTAGGGGAGGCGAGACAGATTCTTGGGATGAGCATAGTCAGAGACAAGGTGGAAGGTACTTTAAAGCTTTCACAGCAGAAGTACATTCAGAAGGTCCTTGAGAAGTTCAGAATGACGGATGCCAAGCCAAGGAGTACACCGTTAGGGAGTCAGTTGAAACTCTCCAAGCAGCAGTCTCCAAAGACCAATGAAGACAAAGATGAGATGGCTAAAGTTCCTTATGCATCAGCCGTTGGCAGCTTGATGTACGCAATGGTGTCAACAAGGCCGGACATTGCTCATGCAGTGGGAGTTGTTAGCAGGTTCATGTCAAATCCAGGGAGGAATGGAGCAATTCTAGAAGGTTTTGCAGATGCTGATTTGGGGGGCTGTCATGATTCCGGGAAGAGCACTACGGGTTACATATTCATTATTGGAGGTACGGCAATCAGTTGGATGTCCAGATTACAGAAGAGTGTAGCTCTTTCAACCACAGAAGCAGAGTATATGGCTATTGCTGAAGCGGCCAAGGAGATGATTTGGTTGAAGAACTTTCTTTCGGAGTTGGGCATGAAACAGGGGGATTGTGGTCTGTACTGTGACAACCAGAGTGCTATTCATCTCGCGAAGAATCCGGTGTTTCACAGCAGAACGAAACACATCAAGATGAGGTATCATTTCATTCGAGAATTGATTGAAGATGGTACTATAAATTTGAAGAAGATCCTTGGTACGAAGAATCCAGCAGACATGCTTACCAAGGCGGTGACAACGGAGAAGTTGAAGCTATGCATGGCTTCAACGGGCCTTCCAGATACTTGATGAGAAGGCGCGGACGAGAGAGAAAGAGAAAAAGAGAGAGAAATCAGGGGTTTTACAGAAGATACATGTTCTTGGATGGCAGATAATTGTTGACCAAGCCTCCAAGTGGGAGATTGTTGAAGATGGAGTCTTGTTCTTAGGTTCAGAGCAGATACCCGACCGGGTATGGTCGGCCACCCGACCGGGTATGTTGAAGCAGAGACCGGGGGGATCTCACTGGACGTGAGACCCGACCGGGTCAGGGAAGGGACCCGACCGGGTCAGCAAGGCAGAAGCCTTCTGTTTTGGAAACCCGACCTGGTTTCCACCGGGTTTGTGTTCTGTGAAGGAGACCCGACCGGGTCAAATAAGAGACCCGACCGGGTCAGGCGACGGGAATTTTAAAAACAGGCTTAATTTTGGGCCTGTGGCTCTAATCTCAGTTTAGGTTTTCCTAAACCTATTTAAACGACTCTTATGTACTTGTAAACCTCTTGGGACGCTGATAATAATACATACTCTCTCTCGTTCGCCGTGGACTAGCGTAATCACCCCGATTGCGTGAACCACGTTAATTCTTGTGTTCTTGCTCTTAATTTATCGTTTATCTTTGCCAAATCGTGACACATCAAATAGTCTATTCACGCTGTCACGCACGCAACACAAGAGGCGAGCATGCTTCCTGCTCGTGAGGAAAGAAAGAACGAGGTGCAGATTTTACAGTTTGCAGCATCGGAGTAGATTCCCAGAAATAGACTTGCGATCAATAGGATGCAATGGGGAGTAGGGTAAGAAATGGATGGATATACTTACAAAAGTTGGATGATGGAGCCCTTCTCCCAAGCTTGAGGGGTGCAGAGTGCAGACGTGCAGTCCCTGGGATGCTTTCGTAAGGATGGATAACCGGTTATGTTTAGTAAATAAATATTGTAAAAGGACCAATTTACAAATACTTTAAGAAAAATATGACATGGAGAACGCAACAAATAAACTAATGCCATGTGTGAAATGCACCAAAACCTTTCCCGACGTTGATGCACCGTAAAATTTTCCTTCCGATTATCACATTGTCCACCGAGAATTCCAGGCTTTGTCGTTGCATGTCCCGGATTCGGTTCAGGCGCATGTTTTTAAAGGTAGAAACAATAAGAAGGGAACAGAATATGGGCACCAATATTAATGCTACCCATAAACAACAAAATATTATCGCTATAATATAGATGAAAATGATTACTAAGAGCATCCGCAAAGCTGAGTAGTCTAGTCTAAAAAAAACATGTCATCACACTAAATTAGACTTTCTACAGCTATTTCCCTCTCCAACGCAGGTAGTCTTTTATGAGTTGGCAAAAAAACGATAGACACCATGAAGGTAAACTATGCGGGTATAGAAAGTCTGATAAACTTGCTAAAAGGACAAAATTAAAATAACAAGATGATTAAAAAATAGATGAAAACTTAAAAAACGCCGTTTATGATCTCTTTCTCCAAAGTACGTATCGACATAGCTCTCTTTTCCGGCGATAACTCAGGTACGCATGTAAATTTTTGTTGGGAAACAGCCGGAGTAAACGAATATAATCAGTGGCGGAACCAGAGAATAATTTGAGCGGGTGCTCTATTTTTATTATTATCCTAGGGGGCGTCAAGGGGAGGGGGTTAGGGAGGCTGAGATAAACTGAGATGAATCTCACTCCATTAAGAATTGAACTTGGGACCTCCCATAAGGGAGAGTACTGAGTCGGCGACCAGCTGGGTTGGACCGCTTCCTCTATATATAGAATAATGTTATTGTTAGTCACGACGGACCAAAACCGCCGTTCGCCGGCATTATTTGATGAGCTTCCCGGTAGAATTGTTTGATGAAATTTGTGAGTTGTTTTTTCATACAATTAAATGTAGATTATCTCCACAAAATTCAACTTAAAACTCAATCATAGAGTCAGTTAAATGAAGGGAAAAATAATTAAAATACCTCAAACTTTGAGGAGGTATGAGGTAAGCACTCCAAACTTGCAAATGTAATTTAAATACCTCAAAAGTTTTATAAAAAATTATTTTAGCATCATGATCATGTATTGTTTTTTAAAAAATGTTAATTTTTGGTGCTAATTTCATAATTTAAAATGTTTTAGCATTCTTGAAGACAATTAACATTTGAAACTTCCGTTGTAAAATAAAAAATACTACTCTCACTCTATATAATTGCAACATTTTTAATTTTTTATTGTAAATTATACAATTAACGCTCCTTCAAAGTTTGAGATATTTTATTTATTTTTCTCTTACATAAATTATTGAAATTTATTGGGCAAAAATATGTATAAAATACATAGTATTTTTCAATAATTGTTTTAGCTAACAAAAAGAGTCTAAAAACGGAGTCAAAATTGAAGGAAAAAAAGTGAAAGGGATAGGTTGTATTACTACATACGGTAGCCGAATTTGAACAAGGGATAGTGGAGATTGGAGAAGCATATACGGAGTAAATAATTCTTAGCAGGGTAACATCCAAGCGAACTGTCAAGTTCTTACATTCATTTTACAACCGGGGATGTAATATAGTAAGTTTCAACCGGGGCTGAGATATATACATATATACTTCCTCCGTTCTCTTTTTAATTGCAACGATCAACATTTCACATTAGCCAACGCACGTCTTTGATTGTAATTATATCTTAATCTCTATTAGTAAAAAAATCGAATTTTGAAACTTTGTAATGAGATGAATTGAACAATATCTTTTAAAAAAAAATTATAAAATAATAGCGTAAAATGTAGTCAAAGTAGAGGATGTGAATAGTGTAAAATTCAACATGTTACGATTAAAAAGAAACGGAGGATAGTATATATATACACTACAAAAGAAACGGAGGATAGTATATATATATACACTACTGTCGCCGGCGAACGGCCAATACCCAGCCAATACCCTTTAAAATTCTTTCCAAATGAACCTATATGTTCTACAAATTTAATAACCAAAAACTACATCTTATTTGTGTGTACATCAGTACATCTACACTTACACATGGACTATTCTAAGTAATGAATTCTCGAAGAAAAGGAAAGTGGTATTATTTTTAATTTGGTATGTGGAATATTTATATTTGGATTTCTTAGAGCAATTCTCTTTGGCCTAGCTACAAGGTATGTACTTTTTTCGCTTTACAATGTATGGTTATGATTATTATTTTTATTATTTGTTTTTATTATTATTGTTATTATTATTATTATTATTTGTCTTATACCAATAATATCCTAACACAATGAATAGAGTCGTCACCGCGGTAGATTTTCACCGCCAAGTTCAAGATGGATTGGTGTGGTTCCTCTACACCTAGGACATCAGAATAGAGAATAATGAAGGAAGAAAGACATACCCGCACGGGTAGCTCAGTTGGTCGAGTGGTGGGAAATTTGGATCAATGAGCCAAGGTTTGAATCTCCACAGCGACTGGGTGGAGGTTATAGAACCTGAAATAAGGTTGGACTTCTAACACACGGGTTATAGGCCTATTACCACTTTACTGATTGAGTCATCGTGACTTACTCCTTCACCATCATGTCGGGTCGGGGTGTGGGGGCTCCTGGGGTGGGAGATTCCACCTTCTTTGGATCAATGAAGGAAGAAAGACATGAGAGAGAGAAAGAGAGAGAGAGGTTTCAGTCTTGTTGCTGTAAAAGAAATTAAAAGTTTGATGTAAAACCGATATTGAAAATGATAGAGAATTGACACAAGAATTTTTCAATGGAGTTAATGAATTTGTTAATTTTGCACGAGGACAAACACGGTACATGGATGGAACGAAAATAAGATGTCCTTGGACGAAGTGTAAAAATAACAAGTTTATTGATGGTGATGATGTTGCAGGCATTTATATACGAGCGATTTATTGAAACTATTTAAATGGAATTCTCAAGGAGAACCGCTTGAGTCATGTTTTTGCCGCAAACCTTGGAATATTTTGAAAGTGACGCCTGAAGTATGGCACGACTGTTTGCCAGCCAAATCCGAACCAATTTTAAAATTGTGTTGTTACCAATTTCTTCACGGCGGCCTTCGAATATTATAAACTCACAAAATCAAGCATAAAATGAGTACAAAACATATGGAAGTCGACCATCAATACCCTCTCTTTACCTCATATGTTTTCTGTTTCAAACAAACACTGGCTAGATCTCCTCCATTTCTCTCTTCCTCTATATCTCCTCTATAACGCCAAACATCTGGGTTTAGGCAACCGTTGTGCTCTTTCTACAAGGGGGTCTTGGCATCACCAACATCTCATAGGCATCAGTTTGTCTCATGTCTTTCATTCTCCAGAGTCCAGAAAGTTGTATGGGTGGCCCGGTTCCAATCTGACCGGACCGGGAACGGGGAACCGGCCCGGACCGCCACTGTGCGAGACCGGACCGGCCTGGTGAACCAGGACCGGTTCCGGGCCTAGGACCGACCCGAGGTGTTAGGGCGGGGCAGTTCCGGGCTGCTCTTCCTTTGGAACCGGCCCAGCCGGTCCGGGGCTATATTTTTGTTTTTTTTTTTGTTTTTTCATTTTGTTTTTGGGTGGTAGTCGGGTTGGGCCGGGTGTTTTGGGGGGGTTAATTAGAAAAGCAAAAATAAATAAAATGAACCGGGTCGAAACCGGCCCGGACCCGAAGGAATCCCGGGCCAGTTCTGGGCCCGCAACCACACACAAAAAACCCGGTTTAGATCGGCCGAGAGCCTGGCCTGGAACCGGTCCATGCCTAGACAGATGTATATGAGAACAAAATCTTATTTGTGAATATATAGGTGTTCTGGAACCATATTTATTGATATGCAAATAGCATTTTCCTTCAGACAATCATATTATAGTATCACAAATTACACATCAAAGCAATAAGTTGTTATTGGTTTCTTATTTCCAAGAAAATGAAAAGCATGAAGCATTTTTCTTTGGACAATCATAGTGTGACAAATTACAAATCAACGCCATAAGTTATTATTTGTCTAATTGTCTCTTATTTTCAAAGTAATAAGAAACATCATCGTAGGTAGAAGATTCAAAACTCAATGACAGCATATTTTTATTTATGAATAAAGCAATACATTCATTCTATGAACGAAGTTCTAATATGTGGCAACCGAATATGAGAAATAATCTCTCATCTTACTTTAGGTAGTAGAAATTAACATACACTTCGCTTATGCAGATTGATGGGGCAAACTAAGAATTTCTTTTTTGTTCCAAGTCACGATGTCTCCAAGGGTTGAGAGCCTCTTTAATAGCCTTGGCTTCAGGTGAGTTCTCCCAAGCCGCCTTTTCTGCCTCCAAAACAGTTACCTTGTCATCTGAATCCCAATTGGAATAAGACAAAGAAAGGAAAAAAACAGTTGTAAGACTAAATTTAAAAGTACTGTTGTACCAAGATGGAAAGAGGAAGATTGTTGTTTATCATGAACGTAATTGAAGAACAGGAATGAAACGATACAAGCTTAGGCACTTAGAGCAGCCTATCTCTCCCAAAATCCCAGCCCAAGTCTCAAGTTCTGCCTTTCCCCTTCCACTTCCCCAACTCCTATTTATTCTTTTCTATTTGAGCTAGCCCGGTGCTATTTAATTCAGGGCCTGAGCCCTTTTTTGTACAATAATAAAAAACTAGTATTATTCTTATTACTAGTACTATCTAGGTCTCTATCAAGTACCAACACAAACAGATGTGTGTAAGTGTTTGCATGTGTGTGTGTGTGTGTAAATGAGCTTATATACATATACGGAGTATGTATCTACACAGACACGCATATACGCATATATGTTTGCGTGTGTGTTTTATATAGACTAATAGACACACGCACCAACCAACGGAACTAACCCCTCTTGTAGTTATTCAATAGTCATTATTATCTCTTTGCAAATAACAACTAAATGCCCCAAAAAACTGGTTGCCAAGAACTTGTTTGTCTAAATAGTAAAGTGAAGGCATATAGACAAGACTCTTGTAGTATGGGCTACTCACATGTATCCATTCACCATGTGACCATGAAATGTAGGAGAATAGAGGTCTCAAAAGACTTTCATGATTGCTTGGACTTAAAGCAAGCTTCAACTATCAAACAATCCTGACAGCACAGATTAACATGTTCTGTTTTGTGTTTTGTAACTGTACTTTTTCATTAGAAAAGACAATAAAAATATACTCCATACTTTGATTTCTTTAGCATCCTTATAGCAGAGGCTAAAATGCATCCATTTCCGGTAACAACTTATATCTGCTTCAAAATTTTAGATTGCTAACTCAAACTTGGTTAAGCAAACATTATATATGAAAAGTGTAACACACTCACTATGCTACATATGCAAACTATAAATAGCCACTGGAACTAGGTTTTGCATTTGCGGGTAGGGTATGGGTGGGAGCAGGGTTGAATATCAAACTATACTCATCTGCTTAAAATCCTAATTGTGAATAGACCAGATATGATTTATGAAGACAGCCAGAATGAATCTCTTAACCCTTGTTTTTTGAGGGGTTTTGAGAGGTTGAATGATAATTC